GGCTATAAAGAAAAATAAACTTCTATAGAAAAATAAACTAAGAAAATAATTCACAAGTTTACGCCTAGAGAAAAAAAATCAGTTGATCATTCCCGCCAGCCTTCTCTTTTGCTGCCACCTCTTATTGTGAATCTACTGCCAAGATAAATTGTAAATTTTATTATCTTCTTTCTTTTTGACCCTACATACCAATGCTATAAAATTATCTCACTTAAATAAATAGAAAAACTGATACTAAACTATTCATACAGTAATATTTTACACAGCACAAGTTTTAAATCTCTGTTATTATTATCATTTCCTAAATAAGCAATTTAACATGATTATCTAGTGTTCTGTCAGTAGACTTAATTAGTCAGGTCCAATGACATCACAGGAATGATATCTCTTGATCAGTGTCTGCTCTAGGATATATTTTCTGGGGAGGCTAAGCTGTCCGACTGGGGGACTTATGCTCATAGGCCCGAGTTAGGGGAAGGGATTAAGAGGGGTCCCCCTCCCAAATGAGAATAGGAACTTCTGGATGGCCGGAAATGGCACTCTCAGACTGTTACAGACATGTGTTGGCTTGGTATGGGCCTATTTTTATATTTTTTATGGTCTGACGGCTTGACGAGCTCTATCCGATGCAGGGGCTTAAGCCCCCTGCCCGCTCTTGATAATACAATTTTTTTAAAAACTATAGATTACAACAGACAATATCGTCAACTTAAAACAAAAACATAATGGTAATTGAATGATTGATTGAAATGGTACTACTTTAAATTAAATATTGTTTTGCCATTACACAACCTATTACTACCCACAAAGTAAACATCATAGGAAGTGATACTAACAGTCTATAATTGACAAAATATCAACAAAAACAGACATCCACATCATTAGCCGATCAAAATGTAGCACTGTAGAAGGGACATTTATATTTTCAATAGGAAAAAGAGGATGAATCCTTGGAACAGAAATTCTAAACATTATTTTCTGTGGAACCTAGGCTAGAACATCTAGTCTAGTTAGGTCTTCAGACTAATTACTTTTTGTATTTTTTGATCCTCAGATACTGTATGAGTCCACTCCTGAAACACTTAGTTTAAAGTCCCATTCCCGGCAAAATTTCAGTTGTTAAGAAAAATCTGATTTTTGTATGTTATAATAGTCTGTATTTATCATTGTTTTTGTTCTTTTGGGTAAAACTAAAATTTATGCCAATATTTTTCCATGCTTTATAATAATTAGAGTAATGCATGCATTTTTTCTAAAAAAAATTTTTTTACTGAAATTTTGCCAGGTATGGGGCTTTAAGGGTGGGGGGGAGAAGGAGGTGGGAGTGGGTGGGGAGAGTAGACTGGTCTTATAAAAAAGAACTATGGTATATGAATTTAGTATAAAAAAAAATAACATGTTGCTTGGTGTATGAATATTTAATTATAATTCAATTAAATTACTATAAACACAATATTATTGTGTTTATAGTAATTTCATTACTCTTAAAAAGAGGGCTCACTACTTAAAATACTTCTAATAAGGATATGGAGCAGCTAAATCAATAAGAAGCTATGATGGTCAGTTACACTCCATTCAGAATAATCCTAATAATCTCAATGTTCTGCCTTTACATGTACTGGAGTAGTAAAAGGGGTTAAGGATGATGACAAATTATATTACTGTACTCTAAATGTACTTGGTTTTCTTTCTACCAGAATTGCTACACCAGCTGCTCAAACTACAATAAATCTATCAATATAAAACTTTTAAAACACCTGAAAATAAATTATGCTTCACGATAAACTAACATTTGAAATCCACACTTGGCGAGACTTGCATCCGATTGCACCACCTTGAAATAATCATCAATGCAAAAGAACCTTCATTTTATTGTTCTCATCATCATGGTCTTCTCCCTTTCGGCAAGTTCCGAACATTACATTCTTTAAAGCAATCGGAATAATTTACCAAATGAAAAAAAAATATGAAACTTAAAAATATAACATGGCCATTATTCCAAAAATAATATTTTAATATTGTTTCTACATAGTCTAAACTTAGATGGATGTTGACAATATAAATGTTGAACAATTCAGATGGAAGTCATTTAATTATAAGTGGAGATTTCTTCTGCTGAAGCATAAGGGCATTGAATTCAACGCTGAGTTGACGCATCAAAGAAACCCGGTTTCTAAAGCACCGCTGCAACATGTGTGCAAGTCCCTACACCTCATTACTCTCCCCATCATGCAATGTTACCTTGCTGTGAAACAAGCTCTTTAGAGATATGTGCTGCTGCACACAGTAAGTTTGAACTCTTAATTTTCATTGCTTCACCAGAATTACAGTAAAATTATTAATCTTTTCAGACATTATGGAGGAAGTATACAGTATTTACATATTTACATTGCTCTTCAACAATTTCCTCATTGAAAAAACTAATGTTAAACTTTGATGTTAATAACATTTGCCTCAGAAATACAAACAATGTAAAAATTGATGATGCCTAATAATAAATTAGTGATAGTTTTATTAATTTATAGAAAATTTCTTTTTCTTTAATTGAAATTAAATAGATCTTGTATTTATAAACAAATTTGTTTAACAACTTTGAAATTCACTACAACAAATGTTGAAATGTGTAAACTATACTTATACTCATTTTAATTCAATAGCTGAAAGAAAAAAAATATATAATTGTTGGCCAAATAAATAAATTAATAAAGATTGAAATGATATTTCTCTACAGAGGTGACTGACTCAAAACAAATTGATTTTCTAGAATTTATGTAAAATTTTTCAATAGTATACTGTACAAAAATTATAACACTTTCATCTTTTTATATGAAAAATAATGGATATTAAAGGATATTATCAGGAAACTGATTTTACAGATAATTTTTCAACAAACCTGTTTTTTTTTGTTGTTGCATAGATTACCAATTAAATGTTGAAATGTGATAAGAGTGGTAGTTTACACAGCTAAGTGTCGACTCATTTTTGAAAATTGTTATGACTAGCATACACTTCCTGATATGGTGTCATTTTGATTATAGCCATAGCAAAAAAGTAAAAAACTATTTGCATTTAAAAAAAATTTGTGATGTCTATACTATTTTGTTTGTTGCAAGTGACAAAATAAATGAAATTAAAAAAGACAAAAAAAGGAAGTTATATAAATTTGCTGACGGAAACCTGATGAGGCTTGCATTGACACCATCAAAGTCTTACGCAATTAATTATAAAGTTGTCTTTAAGTGCCGCACCTCTCTCTTTCCTGCTAATATCCTGACAACGGTAGTTCCTGAGACTAATACATGTTTGGGGATCACATTTCCTCCAATGAGAAAGCAGTCTAAAATATACATAATAATAATGTAATCATACATAATAGTTGGATAAAAATTTTGAAATTATTCATAATATGTAGTAGTTTTAGGTATTAATAATTATTTTTTAATGTAAATACTAATTTCATTGTAATTCTTCTACTACAAAATGATGGAATATTTTAGGCATTTCTCTTTGCGACACTAAGTTAAATTCAACTTCCTTGCAAGTTTTCTAGACTTCCGTTTGGAATTAATATGACCATGAATCATACGATTCTCTAATATGCTTACCGACAATAAATACTTGTTTATTTTCAGGTAAACGTTAAATAAAATACTGAACACTAAAAAACAAGCAGGGTTACAATAATTCTACAGTATACATTGTAAACTTGTAGTAGTTAAAATTAAAACAAAGAATAGGACCCTTTTCTAGACAAGGAAACATGTTGGACTTGTTTTCAAACCATGAATATTTTTGAATGGTCACTTGTTTATGTTTGTAAGTTATTATTTTTGATGTAACTCCCATTTTTTAGTAGTCCAAGAGAGGATGGTGCAATTGGTCTATGAAAAAATTCCAAGACTTACGACCAAGCAATTTAAATCCAGGTTGTTAGTGTGAGAGTTGACCATTATTTTAAGATTGACCACTGACCGAGTCAAACATAAAAATAAGCTACCAGTGGGAACGTATGTCTGCTGCCTTTATATGTTTACTGATTTTAACAATTGAGAGACCAATCTGATAAAAAGGTAAAACCTGGCCCGAGTGAGACAACCCTTTGCTCATGCCGCAATCTCTCATGAACCTCACTGGATTTACTCTCATAAGTAAATTTCCAGACGATAGGTGTCTACTGACCCCCGCAGTGGCAATAGACACAAAAACAGTTGTCTGCAAAATATTAGGTTGGATGATACAGAAGCTATTATTATGTCACCCTGTGCAGCTAAGCAGAAAGTTCACATAAAAATTGCTGTAGCCAGCCAGCTTCTGGGACAGTTGGGACAGTCCCAAACAATTTTTAAATGTTTCCACAAAGAATGGGTCCACATTTTTAAAAATGGGTCCAAATTATGCAATTTTTGACCCTTTGAAAAATGGGTCCAGATTTCTCTTATTTAGCCTAAAATGGGTAAAATTCAATTTAAGAAAATGGGTCCAAATTTTTCATATTTTTGCATAAAATGGGTTAACTTGTAAGGAAATGGGTCCACATTATTTGAATTTACTCATAAAGTGGGTCCACCCTGATATTGTCCCTCACTGTTTGAAAATCCTAGCTACGACACTGCACATAACCTTTACATGACACATTAACTCAAAACCACACCAACTCCTGTAGTACCTGCTTTGTGTCCATACTGTACATTGTATTTAATTGGCGACGATCTTCGAGAGGAAAACAAACTGGATGGGATTATAAACATAATTTTACACGAAATTGAAATGTTTCATGTTTGCTTCACTATTCTCTAGAGTTTCATCAAAATATTATACTGCATTTTGTTGTTGATACTATACTGTAAAGTTGTGTGACTATATTTACAAATTGAATAAATCACTACTTACCTTGATAAGATGGAACTCAACACCTGAAAATGGTGTAAATTGACTTTAACCTGGTAAGTAGGTAAAAGTAAAACAAAAAATATATTTAAAAACAAGAAAATGTAGCCCACCAAGACATTGATCTTCTTCTTCGGAGGTGGACTAAGTAAAACCTCTTCACCCTCTTCCCCTAGGAGCTCAGACGACCTCTCCCTTGTAAGGCTTCCACGAGTCGGCAACGCTCGTCCACTACCAGTTCTCAATGTGGAGCTTCCTCCTAGTGAGTAATTGGTACTGAAGGAAACCTGTTTACCAGCAGAGATACTGCGTCCTAGTGTCAGTTTTTTCGGTGTTCCAGAAGCAACAGAGTTTTTCGATTGAGAAGCAATTGAAGATTCAAACTCCTTAGCAAGATCATTGACGCTGACCTTTCCAGGGGTTGGAATTCTCGAAGAACCTTTACTCGGATTCCCACGTTGCCAATCCATAAGCAAATCAGAATCACTCTTCTGCCGTGTAATTTTACCGTTTGAATTTTGCGAATCATTTTTGTTGTGATGACGTAGTTTTGGAGAAGCAGAATTTAGAAAGCGCATTAGTGGGCTTGAATCACGATTACTATCAGGTGATAAACTTGGTGATGGCAGTTTCTTCTTGCTAGCAGATGGACTGGTATGATTCTGTGATTTACTTGGCATTGAAATCCTTAACGGTGATTTACTACGTATTTGAGGAAAGATCTTCGTTGACATGGGCAGCGAAGAGCCAGTAGTATTTCGATTTGGAGGCGCAGACTTTGTAGCTCCATTTCGTCGTAAACCAGAAGTTAAAGTTGAAAGGCCGAAATTATGCCGTTCTGCAGAGATTCGCCTTGCACGTGGTACAGGTAACTGAGAATCCGATTTTCGAGAGGCCATATTCGATTGCGATTGATATGTGTAGTCTAAAATTAACAATCGATTTTTAACAAAACTTCTTAAAAATATTAAAAAATGTACATTATAAAATGTTTCCTCACAGTCTGAGATAAAAATAGATGTAACTGCAGAATCAAGTTTAAGAGAAATGACAGACTTGTTTTGAATCCAAAACCAAGAAATAAATCGCTTTAAGTTTCGTATCAATATTGATATGAGAGGGAAACACAACTTGATATATAAAAAAATCCAACATGAAAAATATAGATCAGCTTTAAAGATAAATTAAAAATTGAACCTTCGCCAACATTGTAGATGAATCATAAACAGCCATCAATAAAACAATGAAAGCTAAAAAAAATCACGATTATTTCCTATATAAAAGTTTAAGATAAAATTCCACTTAAAAAAAAAGGAAATCCAAATTGTTGATAGTTTTTAAATCACTGCAACAAGATAACAACAAAATTTCCAGTAATTCGTTTCCTGTCTAGCTTAAAAAAATATTCTGCAAACAATCAACAGGTATTCCAAGTTTTGTTATTAGTGATCAGCTAAAGTACAGACAATCCAGTTTTGACTCAACAATGTTTTTATTGGCCAGGAAATCTTGTAAATTTTACACCATTTTGAGGAAACACTATCAATATTCTTACCAGCTTTCTTTGATTACCAAAATTAAGTAAGCTTCCAATGAACTACACATATATTTTTCTGGAGTTCCGTCAAAGATCCCAGACGCTTACCAGATTCGAGAAAATATTTTCATTATTGAATTGTGATCTCACAATCAAACTATCTTGAATCAGAATTACAGTGATGAATAATGAATCAACAATCAAAGTGGTGCTAAAGCTACAACTCGCACATCTCTCATCTGTCTTGGATTGAGCTAATTTAGTCTTTGAAAAGCCACAGTCAGTCTCTGAGGCAAGCCATGCAGAATGAATCACTCGTTCGCAGGCCAACCAGGCAATGTCTGTCTGCTGAAAAGGTTTGGTGAAATGACAACAGCAGTGAAAACAGCACAGTTCATTGGATCATGTTCAATAAGTGTTTTTACAGTCTCAATTTATACAGATGTAAAAAAAATGTACCGGTATTATCTTCTGACACATCAATTTTAGTAATAGCTAAGTAAAGAAATTATTGTATGAAGCAAAATTTTTGCAAAAAACGTGGATATCAAACAAGCAACATTTAAAGCGAATTTGACATTCTGGTAAATACAGTAATTACATACAAATACACTGAAATTAAAAGGTTTTCACTTTCAAAGTGTTATCAAAATACTGGTTTCTTTTAGGTTTCAAATCATCAAATGTATAGCTAGGAAAACAGGTTTTACAAGTCACCACAAAGAAGTTTACAGTATGAACAAAAGTTTGTGGCTCTAAATACATATTTTAGTCTGTAACCTGCTTCTAGTTTTTATTGAAGAATCCAATGAAAATTGTTCTACCAAAGTATATTCACATTTCATCCTTTCTTTGCCTAAAAATGTCATATCTCCATCAAAATACAAATGATTACAGGCAAACAGAAGATAATTTCAACATTAAAAAGAAAAAAAAACTGCATAATGTTGATGTGGAGTCAGGACTTCTCCAAGTAAAATCCATTTGAAAATGTTCTTAAAACCTTCAGAGTGAATTTCAGCTGGTCTAAAACAGGAGATCTATTTCCTTCCTAATCAAATACATAATTAGAAAATAACTTACTTGCAACAAAATTAATATACTTCCTACTAGGCAATGCAAACAAATGTATTATAGGTAATATGTAAAATGTTTTGAAAGGTATCTGACACATGTAATTGTTGGTTTTTTTCCCACTCCCCTGTAATCCTACATTTATTAGTAATGTTAATTAACCTTTAGTAACTAAATGTGCACAATGAGTAAATACCATTGTCATAGTACCACTGAACATTGCATTCTGCCGTGGATACTGGCATTATAGTACAAATCCTTGTTGATTGATTGGTTAATTTAAATAAGTTATACATTATTATTTTTAATTATTATGCTTTTATTGGTGTATGTCATTGTCTCAATGCACTTTCCAGAACAATAATATGAGGTGTTTTTAGTTTTATTTTAAGTTTTAAAATACAGTATATCTAGACTTCTCCTATTGTGAAAATTAAGGATTACAGATACCTTTGTTATGAAATAATTTTAAGGACAAAAATTAAAAATAAATCAATTTTCATAGTTGGATTGACTTTTTTTGCAGGAAAAAGCAACCCAAAATAATTAGGTACCTAGAAACTTGAACTTTATTTCACTTCAATCATCCATGCAGACAATCGACATACTTTACAGATGATAAATATGCTGCAATTTATTAATAGTTATATATTATTGCTATAGCTACCATCACTACAATCATTATCACAATCCGACAGGCAACTTCCATTGATGATTTTAAGGCAGCTTTAAAAACTCACCTTTTTAACTTGTATTTTTCTTAATTTTTTTTTTCCCGAATTTTATTTTTACTGTTAAGCGCATTGAGGCTTTAGCATAATGCGCTATATAAGCCAAAATTATTATTATTATTATTATTATCATCATTAGATATTAATGGACAGCTTTTAATTGTACAAATGAAATATCAGGGAAATATTTACACTTACAATTCATAAAAACCTGAAATTGTACACAAAGACAACTTTTACATTCTTGTGTACAGTACAACTTTAAATCCTACAAATGTGTTAATGTTATAAAAATATATTGTAATGCAAATGTTTTATCTGTGCATGGTGCTACCCATTGGCACTGACTTCCTTCAGACAATTAATTAAAGGCAGTAAAAACATGCAAATACTGTATTACAAATTGTTGTACTTTGCTTGCTTACGAGAGTGTGGGGCGCTATCCCAATTTCCGGGAGACTACCCCAACTTGCACGAGACTAATTTGGATGCCAGTATCTGTCACTGTATATTTGAAATAAAATTTCCTTTAAATGAAAATAACCATTGATCAAGAACAGGGGCATATCAGAAGTCTGGAAATGGAGGGGCTGATGGGGGAACAAAGGTAAAGTGGGGCTTTTTTTTGATGATTGGGTTAAGGGGTTCCACCTCACAAAATAAGGTGATTTGAAGTGATTTTTTTACTACTTGGGCATGATATTTTGGGGGAGAATGGGGGTACACCCCCTTGATGCCACTCATCAAGATGTCAATTTCTGTTTTGTCCAAGCATTGTTATCTTAATATTTATTTGTCATTTATCTTCTAGAAATATTTGTCACTGCAGTAAATCCTCAGGAGGGTCACACCACAGTACCAGTTTGTGATATCATTATGAGTAACAATAAAATATCTGAAGATGACATGAACAAACAGGTTTTTTAAACAAAGTGAGTCATCAAATTTATGAGGAAAATTCAAAGTACAGTGTTAAACGAAGCTACCAGTTATTTTAAATAAAAATGTCAACATTAAAAATTGAGAAAAAACGATGTGTGGGTAGGAAATGCTATGGTGGATCATAAATGTTGCAGTGCAGTAGAGGTCAAACAAAGTCACAACCTGTATTTAGTACAGTATTCACAATTAAAAAGGGGTGAGAAAGAAAGATATTAGCAACGTAGGGTGTCAAAAATAAGTTAACAGTTTAATAAAAATGACCGTATTGATAATAAGTCAATAAAGAATTCATTTTTAACTGGTATACATACATAACATAATTTATATAGTGCTATTTCATGAAGATCAGATCACTCAATTAAAGACACACTGTCTGCAAATTATAATTATATTATAATTGTCATATGATTCCCTTGTTGGTCCTGCTATACCACAGAAAGTATTTGCTATTGCGATACGTGTTTGCCTACTGTATAAACAGGTAAGATGAGACAATTACGTAATTAAAAAAAAATTTCAGCCGCCGCTATAAATCCCATCATGCATCACTTACGTACTGTATGTGTTAATTCTGTTTGTAGGAGTAATCACGAATACGTGAAGGCGAGGAAATCCAGTGAGGAAATCCCATGCTTCACACGTACAGTAGGCCTACATACACACAAAGGGATATGAAATGAAATACATATTGTCAAATGACTGAAAAGTCTGGCTTGTACAGTAGAACCTCATTTTTAAGTACCCCAGTTATACGAACCCTCGGTTTTATGTACGCCGCGTATCGACGATGACGTCATCAAAAACCCCAAAAATATTCAAAACAAACGGCCCTTATTAGAGCAACCATAAGTAAAAGAACTATAACAATAAACAAAAGATTATGGTTTTATCCGTAGGCCTAGAGAGGCTAGGTCTATCCTAGGTAACATCGTTCGTTCATAACATACGTTTATTGAGCATAATGTAGGTATTTAGGTCAAAGGTTACCACAAATTTAACCCAACCTTAATTTTACGAATCTCCCGATTTACATACGACCTCTGGTCCCGTACCGTACATAAAATTGAGGTTCTACTGTAATTATCTGTATATAAGCATGAGCACTGGCAGGCCACAACAGACATGACCATGAAGATTTCCGAACAACTTTGGCCGGCCTGACCTAGGCCTAGGTAGTAGTACTGTACTGTAGTAAGCTAAACCTACAGTAGGCCCTATCAAGAGCCTTTATTGTCACACACAGATGCAACTTGTAGTTAACGAGGCAATTGTTAATTATTAGTAGTACAGTATACCACATAATACAACATACTGTACAGTACCAGGGAAATGTATTTACAATTATATATTGAGTCAGAACACAAGCAATACTTTTAACATTACAATGTTGAAACCATTCACTCCGAAAGAGCTTTCATAGATGCGATAGATCCATTCATGACCTCATATAGCACAGAGTAGCCAAGACGTGCTTCAGGTACTGTACATTTTTTCTTCTTTTTTAACAATCGAGAAACAATATGAGCAGAACTGACCTAGTTTATAAAATTAGAGTAAATGTACACTTTTTTTTTTTTAATACATTTATGGGAAAATCTGCCGGTAGTTGGACATTAAATGAAAAATAATTCTTTGAAACCACAAGCA